TGGCTACGGTGCCATTGGCTATGGCGGTGACTTGCATCGGCCACCGACCCTGGAAGCTCCTCCCAAGCCGGTCAGGACGGCGTATGGAGATTTCTACCGGCTGGGCCAAACGATCCTCAAGCAATTCATGTCGGAGGAAGAGCCCGCCAAGCGACGAAAGGGCAGCGGCGTCAATGACGGAGTCAGCCGGGGCATTCCTGGTCACATGAAGCGCGAACTGCAGCTGTGGCTGGAGCGGGACCAATGGCCGCAGCCCATCTACCCCCCTTTCCCTGCTGGCTCCTGGAGCATCCTGACTGGCTGCCCCCCTTAAACCCCGCCCCCCCCCCCGCCGCCCATATGATTTTGTTGTAAACCAGCCATGCGAGCATCGTGATTGCGAATGGGGCCCGCTGTTTTTAGCCGCGCGCAAGGTTGCATGACAGCCTATAGGAGTCGTTCTTGAAACCCGCGACGCCTGAGATGAGTCGTTTAGAAACAAAACACCATTCAGACATCGAAATCAAAACAACCAAAACTGTGCACGGCACCACATGGGGCGACACATTCAGCCGGCATCCTGTGTAAATAATAGGACGTGGGGCCCAAATAAGAATAACAAAAACCAAAAATAACAAAAAAGACCGAAATAAAACTCCACCCGTGCTATAGTAGTAGTAGTAGTAGTAGCAGCAGGAGTAGTAGTGTAGTATAGGTAGGGCGATGTGGAGGTGAACTGAGAAGACGTATCTTTCCTAGAAGGAATATATGGGTGGAATATGCCTTGATTCTGTCATACAGACATGTTTCCGACCGAATGCTTGTCTGTAATATACGTATTCCGTCATCACTATTACGGAACACATGCATTTGAGGGGTGTGTATTACGTGCGAAGCAAGAAACCCCGGCACGCGCAACAACACAGCGGCGAAACAAAAGCAGTAGTTTTGCTTCGCATCGCTGTAAGGTCGGAGCTTACGATACTCAACTGTCACCTGCTATGCAGTCAGTCGACGCGCCATGCAGGAGCCAAACAAGTAGTAGTAGCAGTAGTAGTAGTAGTAGTAGTAGTAGCAGTAGTAGCAGCAGTAGTAGTAGTCGTAGTAGTAGTAGTAGTAGTAGTAGTGGTGCTAGTAGTAGTAGTAGTAGTAGTAGTAGTAGTAGTAGTAGTGGTAGTAGTAGTAGTAGTAGTAATAGTAGTAGTAGTAGTGCTAGTAGTAGTAGTAGTAGTAGTAGTAGTAGTAGTACTAGTAGTAGTAGTACTAGTAGTCGTAGTAGTAGTAGTCGTAGTAGTAGTAGTTGTTGTTGTAGTGGTAGTAGTATAGTAGTAGTAGTAGTAGTAATAATGATGATAATAAACAAGCGCCCGGGGAGCGCAACGACAGCGAAAAAAACCGCGCCCCGCAGGCACGACAGCCGAAAAAAAAACGCGCACCGCAGGGACGACAGCCAAAAAAAAACACGCGCCCCGCAGGGACGACAGCAAAAAAACGAAAACAAAAAAAAAACGCGCCGCGGGACACAGCAAAAAAAAACGCGCCCCGCAGGGACGACAGCAGAAAAAAAAAAACGCTCCCCGCCACGACAGCAAAAAAAAAAAACGCGCCCCCGCAACGACAGCAAAAAAAAAAACGCGCCGCGCACGACAGCAAAAAAGCAACGACAGCAAAAAAAAAAACACTCTTACCGGTCGACAACAGAATGTCGGCCTTTTGATCAGGGTGCGAGCCAAAGGGGCCTAGAAGCGCGCACCGAGTCTCCGTTTGCACAGTTTCTTTTGCACGCACGCTTTGCTGCACTCAGGCGATGGCAGTCCTACTTGCCCTCAGCCGCGGTCTCACCGTGATTCCAGCTCGATGCCTCTCACGGTCTCTCTTGGAAAAGAAACGGAACTCTCTGCATGAGCCGAACTCTACTGACGCTGACTTGCGCCATGTGCAATGTCTGGACTTTTTGAGCTTCCGGACCTTGATTCATAAGATCCCGATGCAGCCGCATGACGAACAGAATCAACTCCCTATCCTGGGTTTGCTCACGGTCAGTCCGTCTAGTGCTTTGGCTTTGCCAGTCTTCAAGCCGTCAGCATAGTGTGCAGTTGAGCTGAAACATACAACAGGATCAAAGGTGTGCGTGTATATCGTGTCGCAACACACAAGTGCAGGAGCAGGAGGGTTCGTCACACAACGGTCGCTGAGCAGCTAAAGTCGGTACTGTGACCGGAAGGATGTGAGCACAACACAAGCTGCGAAGTGCTCGAGCTGTTTCGGGAAGGTTTTGTTTTCTAGGGCCAGGTAATGCCCAGTAACAAGCATGCAAACCTGTTTGCGCCTCTTGGCCACTCTTCTGGTTGACCTCTTTCCATTTCTACTCTATTGTCTATGCTAGAGTACCTGGAGGCCACTGTCCTTAGCTTGTTTGTCATTCTTTGCTGAGTTGAATAGCTGACGTCCTAGTCGACCTTGAAGAGTTACCTGCAACTTGAAGAACTGTTATCTGTGAATTTTCCACATTGTGGCTCCGGAGAGGCCGATGAAGATGTGGTAAGAGCTGCAGTGTGCCCTTGGCCTTTGAATAAGCACACCGTGTCGTCTTCGGTGTGTCTGTAGCCAGGCAAGAGATTGCAGAACTCTTCTTCATGCCCGATCAAATATTTCTAAGCTTGCTTCTCAGACCGCCTTCACTGCATAGCTCCGGAAGCCTGTCAGCCAGTTGTAATTCGCAGGACACGTTGCTACTGGTAGCATTCTGCAGAGCTCCTTGCCAGAGGACATTTGTCTTGCAGTGCTGGAGATGTACTGAGACCGGCGGCAAGCTCCACAGGATGTGCAGGAAGATGTCGACGACGATGAAGAGCTGATGCGGGAGGGTCTGGCTGAGGCTGTCTTGCGTTGGTAACTAGCTGCTAGCTAAATCCTTGGAAGCAGTCTGCGGTGACGAGATGCAGCCAGGTTGCTGCAGCAGCGGCGGCTATCAAGGAGCCAGCTGAAGACCCCTTGCAGATACAGGCGAGGATATTCCTGGAGCACTGTCAATTGGTTTGTAGCTTTTGCTTTGTTGGCTTGGCTCTGCTCCGGAGTCCTGTTTTGGGGTTCGAGTGAAGGGGTTAGGCTAGCGCGGCTTGGCGTTACCACGACAGTGCAAAGTCGGACAAAGGGGCTTTTATATACTTTTATGCTTGATGCGCAAGCACTACGAGCACCTTTTGTTTGCTATGCGTGCGGGCAGGCGAGGCGGCGCGGGGCGGCGGGCGGGTGGGCGGTTATCGGTAGGTGTGCGTGTGTGTGTGTGTGTGTGTGTGTGTGTGTGTGTGTGTGTGTGTGTGTGTGTGTGTGTGTGTCTGTGCCTGTCTGCCTGTGTGTGTGTGTTTTTGTGCACACTTGCACATGGTGACCCAGTGACTATCTTCAAAAGTTTTTATCATGATGCAGGGGGGCACGGCATACGATTTCTCAACGGTTGAAAACATGGGCCCCCAGTTTAGGTCTTTAACCCTGGGATCCTTATTCCTATAACTACTATATACGTTATATAGACTAATCTAGACTTAAGGGTCCCTAGAACTCCCTCCAAAGGCTTACAGGTCCATGTTAGGGGCCCATAGTTAGAAACCTTGCAATTTCGGACCGCGCCTAACAACGCTATCGAATCTGATAGGAAGCAAGGGCTGATCACCTTTGTGTGCTTGCACCAAGGCCAGCCCAATTACAACAAAAGACGCTGTTGTTTCTGCAGTTGGCCTCCAGTGTTGCTGCATGGTTGTTGCAATTTGTCGTCGTCTTGTCAGGTCTGTCTTCTGCTGCATGTGTTCGTGCTGAGCCAAAGTGTGTGTGTTGTTCTGGAGTACCCGACATGGGGCCAGATCACAGTGGGTGAATGCCCAAGCCCGCGATTGCGGAGGTAGATCTCGAACGCTGCCAACACAAAGTCACAAGTTAAATTATCAGCATGATTTGGTAGGTTCGTTTGCAGAAGCTGACCTGACGATGGATTTGCTCAAGAACGTTGCAAGATCGTCCGCTCGCTGATCAAAGTGAGACCAGCTCTGGGAGATCTCCCAAGCGCAATTGAGGTCACTCTCGTTGAACAGACAATGCTCTAATTCATCTTGCGACTGACGTCTGTTCAGTTGCCGGCATAGCGTAAGACAGCCGGCCGGGGCCGTAGCCTTCAATGAGCCGGGACCGTTTGCTAGCCGGTTTGCCAAAACAGGTCCCTCACGCTGAGATGTTTAATGGCACGTCCGGGGCATGCGTGTGTGTCTGTGTGTACCACCCTGTGACGAAGGGACCATTTATTTACAATCGCAATTAAAGCAGGGAGCCATCCCCTTTGCCATTGGTGGATGGCCAACGAAGAGGCCAATGACAACAGCTGAAAACATAACTGGACGAGCAAATGACGATATTGAAGAAATTCGAAGAGATGCAACAGGATGCAGTGAGCATGAACAGATTGGACAAGCAGAAGGTAGGCCACAAGGGTCAAATCATTTGTGTGTTTGTGTACACCTGCACATGGTGACCCAGTGACTATGCTTGAAATCTATCATAATGCAGGGGGGGGGGCACTGCATCAGATTTCGGACCGCGCCTAACAACGCTATCGAATCTGATAGGAAGCAAGGGCTGATCACCTTTGTGTGCTTGCACCAAGGCCAGCCCAATTACACCAAAAGACGCCGTTGTTCCCACGGTTGACCTCCAGTGTTGCTGCATGGTTGCTGCAACTTCTGTCCGGTTTGTCTTCCGCTGCATCTATTCGTGCTGAGCCAATGTGTGTGCGCGCGTGTGTATATATATATATATATGGGATACTCCAAATGTTGACAGCTCTGAGACACGCTTGCTTTTGCTGTTCCCTCTATTGTAGCCTTGACTGACAAACAGTGCGCATGCTTCCCGTGAATGATTGCTGCGAGGCACCCAAAGCAAATGCTGCTGCTGTCAGCCAGGCGAAGATGCATCGGTGCAGCTGATTCGCAGGGCTGTGCATCAATGTTCTTGAGGTGCAACATGCCGGGATGGATCTTGGCTTTCTCAGCTTCGCAGGGTTCAAGAGCAAAAAGGCCTGTCCTCTCATAGGACGTACTTGAATGCATTGCCACAAGGCCTAGTGGCTTCGTGATGCAAAGGAATGGACATCGAATTTTGCAACCGTTGCTGTGCTCCGGAGGTTGAGCCAGACCTTGCGCAACCAGCAAAGAGACCCAAACTGGCCTGCGGCTTGTTTTGGTTGGAATCCGGTCAGCTACTCTGTTCAAACTTGCCCAGGTGCCGTCGTGGCTAATAGAAGGTGCTGCTGTTCATGTTCGCCGGGGGGTGCATGACCTAGGTTCAAATTATGTAAGGGCTCGCAGCCGGCCGTTCTTTCACTCCTGCACTGCAACGAGGTTGCAGATGTCACGGGAACAATCCTTGAAATCAAGGGTGGAGTTCTCAGCAGATAGCGAGGCACCATCACGCTTAGTGTCGAGAACATAGAGCATGTCAACAAGTCAACAAGTGTACGACGGGGCAGTCATGGTCCTGAAACAGGGATCCAGAGTTGGGTGCTCCGAGGCGACCTTTGCAGGGTGCGGACGTTGCAGCCAGCACCCCAAGGACTCATGCACTGCGAATCCGCTAGGATTTTCTTTTCTCTCGCATGGTTGGTGCAGGGTCAGATCTTGGAACAGAAGAGCGGGAAGAGATGCTCCCATTGCCCGTGCGGCCGCACGGTCGATGCATTTTCATTGATACCTAGATGTAGATGTAGGGTGCATCGCATACCAATCTAGTGACTCTAGTGCCAAGGCCATTCTTCCGGTAGCGCCGGAGATTGGGAGGAGCGTTAAGGCCCTCCTCGGAGATTTGCAAAGGCAACTGCCGCAGACGAACGCATGAGGTCGTCGCCGGTGACCGAACTGGCATCATAGGCAAGGAGTCTTTCGCCACAGCCGTGGTACCGTGCTACATGATAGTTGGCTTTGGAGCTTTTCCTCTCGTCGAGTTTTGTTGACAGGAAAGCTCGTCGGACTTGCTGGCACAGAAGCCGTTGTACAGATTGGAGGGTGCGCGCCAATCTTTTGCTTGTGGCATCTGCGTGGCGGGTAGCCACCACGGATTTTGCAGGATGTGCTACGAAACTCTGCCAATGACACAGTGGCACACCCAGTCAGTGAACATCCTTGATTGCCAACACAAGTTAAGCCACTGGTCAGGATCGCGGTCGTATCCAACTGACAGCATCGATGCGACAGAGGTTTCACTTCGCGCGTTGATAGCGCCTTGAGCCGTATACCGCACATAGGTGTTGAAGGCCCTTCGGGTGCAGACAAAGCTTCTGCATGATTGACGCCCAGAAGCCGGAGACCTGTGTCGACAGTATTCCTGCGACGCTGGACAGCAGACCAGAGCTTTTGAAACAGTTACGATGTGCCGTGACTAGGCCTGGCCCCTTGCAGCTGAATCAAAGCAGAGGGGCAGAATTGGTCCTAGAATTGGCAGTTTGTCGGCAAAAATCATACGTGCCTTTGTGTGGAGCATCCCGCCGCGGCAACACTCCTGTGGCTGCACCGTCTGTTTGCTCGGCGGGCAAGCGAAGCCGGAATCGAACCGACGGTATTTGTCCCTGGCAGTCATCTACTCCGCACAGATGCCAGCGAGTGACGACGAGAAAACCAGTATCTAGATTGACCGTCAATGTTCTTCTGCGTGAAGCTGCAAGCCAACACACGAAGAGCTGGCATCGGAAGCAGTCAAAACGTCGAGTATCTTTTGCAGATGGTTGCTAGACATTCAGCCGATATGTACAGTTGCCATGACCTTCTGCGAACGGATCATCCAGCAGCCGTCGTGTTCAGCAGATGACACATTTCCACGGCAGCATATGTCCAAGTTGTTGGAGGCATTCAGATACAGAAGCTGTAGCACACAGACTAGTAATTACGTGCCGTCGAAGTGGTTCCTTCGTCTCCAAGACTAAGCTGGAAGATATTGGAATTCTGCCATGCTGTGCCTTAAAGCGCTAGCTGTTCGCCCACCGCATGTTGTTCCACCGTCCCAGAGGGGGTGAAGAAACGGAAGAAAGTCGCCTCAGGGCTTTGCTCTGTGGCGAATGGGCGACGTGGCTCGACGAAGCTTCATCGCAAGGTTTGCCCCAACATTCCGCCCTTGCAATCCCAAGATGGTGACGCACGCGCTCGCCGTGACATCAAACATGCCGTGTTCGCGCAGCTGTTCACAGCACCCACCCAGAAACATTCAAAGTGGCTGCCCCAAGCCTGTTTGGCTTCACGGTGGAAATCCGTCGTGTTGACCCTTGCGAGGATGGTGAGGATGATGAGGATAGATCGTGGCGAGTAAAGAAATTGGTTTTGTCATCGCCGTATTGTCACGCGATATGGCCGCCAGGGCCTGCCCAACACGGCAGCTTGCGGCGCACACAACTTGGTGGGCATCTTGGCTTGACTCGCCCGCGATCCGTCCTCACGGCAACACTGCCGATCGTTTTGAGCGAAGCCTGGCAGCGGCACCTGCCAGCAGCGACCTTCCCCACGCGCTTGTGGCCACCGGCCAAGCAGCGGCAATCACGGCGTCGCATGATGTCGCATGCGATCTTGCGGCCTCACCTGTGATCCTGGCGTGCGCTGGGGTGTCGTTCGTCGCACAGCTGGTGAAAGGCGACTCCTTACGATGTAACGCTTCCATCCAGGCCTGGCTGTGCCGCTGATGTGGCAGGCTGGCTTTGCCAAGCACCTCCTGGGTGTCTCCGAGCTCCGCGCCAGAGACTTCGTGCCCTGGCCGAGTGCGGCAACACCGCGAGCCGCGGAGCGCGGTATCGAAGCGGCTTACCCCGAAGTCAGGCCTGGTGCTTTTAAAAGTTTTAAATTTGCAATCGATTGTGGTTGCGGCCATGTTGTGATGGACTGTTACGAACTTGGGCTTGGGATACGAACTTGGGACATTGATCTATCGTGCAATCGTGCTGCTTTGCCAAGCTGTATGGATAATGCCAAGCGGTGTTTCGACACGGTTCAGATGCTCGAGCGTACGCTCTCTTGGAATATCTTGAAGAATCTTAGAGACGCTGCTGTTGCCCCAAGACGTGCCCATTTTTTCAGGCGGTCGTCGAGATACGTATGTAAGTAGAACGTTTGATTCCGCTTGGGGTGATGGTAGTGATCTGTGGCATGTTATCTAGGATGTTGAGATGGCCAAGGGGCAATCCTCAATGCTTGTCTTCCCAACACTGCGATAATGGCGATAATCAAGCCAGCTTGGAGTTGATGCAACTTTTACTTGGCCATTGCCTTGGCGATTTTCATGTTGGAATCGGTCCTAACAAAATCTGCAGTCATGGTTCATGGCTTCCGGCGGTTCACGCAGCCTTGGGAAGGGGCCGTCGCACAGATTGCCAGCGGCATCACCACAGTGGAACGATTGCCCACCTTGGCGAGCCATCATGGAAGGCGATTGGCCCGCCTGCCCAGCAGATGCAGGCCCAGGGGACTGGCCGCATGGCTGGCGCGGACTCGCAACCAACACTATCGCAGTCGCGTGCTGTTGCCGCTCCCAAGCCCGGCCGCAGGCGTGGCTTTCAGCCATACCCAGCGAGCCAAGCACTCCACAAGCCATGCTTGTGGCACTACGCCGTCGCCTGCGGTTACCTTTGCCTCTGAGCCTTCATCGTGGTCAAGCGGTCGATGCCTTTCGGGACCACGCACTAGCCTCTCCCCGGACAAGACGTCTGGCCAAACGGGCAACAGTGGTCGAACGAGCGTGGCTCCGCGTGGCCAGTGAAGCCGACAACAGCGGCTCGCCCACACCACGGCCCCAGGCGGGCGATCAGACGAACGCCGACGCCTAGACATGGTCGTCGTGTACCGGGCCACGGCCAACGGGGGTGCGCTCTAGTCCCCGGCAGAGTGGAAAAGCAGCATGCGTGGAGCTAAGCAAAATCGGTTTTAGCATGCCGACTTGTCAAGGTTCAGGTTTAGATCTCAGATTCAGGTGGGGCCGGCAGAAGTACGACGCCCCAAATGGCTCAAAGCTCATCGAATGTTTCTGATCTGAAATTTCAATCTTTGATTTGAAAATTCAATGTTTGTGATTTCGTATTGTTTCCGTGAATTTTCTTTTCATAATTTTATTTTTCGGGAAACCCACCATAAAGCGATTTCGTGTGGCTTCTTTTCTTTTGTGTTGCGATTGCGTTTTGTTTCCTTACTTCTCCGCGATCGATAGCATGCCCCACCACCGTCGTGCCCAGGCACTCGAGGCAGCCGCGCGCAAGGCTGGCGGCGTGCGGAGGGCCCGGACGCGAACGAGCTGCCGCACAAGTTCGTGCGCATCCGCGTTCCAACCACCTCCGACCTCTGCAGCCACGACGCAAAGACGTTGGGCTCCGCCGCTCGCAGCTCGGGGGAGGTGGCATGTCGGCTGTTTTCAGGGGTGCGTAGAGAGCCACGCCGGGGGTGAAAGCAGCCCGCGGATGGGGCACGCATTCGCCTGACACAGGGCTGACGAGCGTGGCATCGTAGCACAGCGCCAAACCTTGGGGCGAGGCGCCGTAAACGACAAGCCGGCGGAAACTTGACGGCACACCCGGTACCGACGCGTGCGCCAGCCACTGTTGCAAGACCACGTGTCCTTCGGCCCCTACGGCTTCGCGGCAAGCTGCAAGCCAAGCTCGCACATCAGCCCGTGCTGCACAGAAAATAGCCACGGCCGTCCGTGTGGCCGACGGCAAGCCGAGGCCGCCATGAGCTGCTGGAAGTGTGGGTGTGTGGGTGCATCTGCTCTTTCGTGGAGGCATCTTGCCGGAGCCACGACAGCGGGTGTATCTTTCATGATCCTTCAATTAAGGACGGGAGCTTAATACGTCTGGCATTCAGAGTTTAGATGGAGTACGGCACAAACTTTTTTGACAGATCCCAGCCGCGAGCATTGCATTGCACATCGAGCATCACAGCAACAAACAAATCAGCTAGCTGGCCTCCTGCTTATCCTGGGTGCCAAGATGAGCTGGACTGTGGAAGATTCGAGTTGCAAGCCTGGGCACAACGATTGGCTCCTGATGCTCGTTAGCCGTAATACGTGTCCGTAATGTTGGGTACAGCGCAGCAGCCCATTTGTTAATATTCTCAAAACTTCCAGTCCTTCGATTCGCCGCAACTGACCTCGAAAAAGTTGGACAGTCGTAAGAAGGCTCTCTTTTTTTTGTGCATGTTGGAGACATTCCACCGTGGTCTGTTTGTGTGGCTAGCGGATAAGTGGGCCACGCAGACTGGTTTGTTGAAGTGCAGCGTGTGCCGGTTGTCTGTGGCTTCTGCACATGGAGTTCATCGGAGCCCAATTTGGAATGCAGCGGGGGAGCAGCTCGCCCACATCTCCGACCTGCGCGGCCACAGCGGGGAACCCATCTGGACTGGGGATTGGCCTCGGCCACGCGATCGCTAAGGCCTTCTCGTCCTCGGCACGCCGCTGGGTACCTGCGAGTACGTCCACGGCATCCTCGCCGCGAAGCGGGCAGAGCACGATCGCCTCCTCACTCGCATCCCCAAGATCCCAGACCTGCAGGCGGCGTGGCTGCTATTGCACTACTGCGCCGCACCCCGGGCCAACCACCTCCTGCGGAACATTGCGGAACGTCCCGCCCGCACTCACAGCCCAGTTCGCTGCGGACTTCGACGCCGGCCTTGCGACCTGCCTGGGCATGCCTGGGCTCCTTCGTGCACAGCGGCGATCAATTCCCAGCTGCTGCAGTACGGACGTCGCAGCTTGCTCGTGGGTTCGGCGGCCTCGGGCTGCGCTCGGCAACCGCCGACTGCTATGCCGCGTACTCGGCCTCTTGGCTCGACGCACTGCCAGCTATCCGAGCTCGCTCTCCGCAGATCGCCGACAACCTTCTGCATGCGCTCGCCGCACCCCGGGCCAGTGGCTCACGTGCCGTCGCAGCGGCCGCAGAAGCCGCCGACCACCTCACGGCTGCCAGGTGCCCGCTTGGGATAGCCTAGAACCAGCGCACGCTCCTGTCCACGAGAAGCCAGGGCACCGTCTCCGAGGCTGGCAGCGGCACGCCGCCCGCGCCTGTGACCAGCGCGCGTTCGAGACGCATTTCGCCACCTTGCCTTCCGCGTCCCGAGCGCTGCTGCTGTGCCAGGCCGGGCCGCATGCCGCCTCTTGCTTTACAGTCCGCCCGACTCACGAAGCAGTGACCATCCCGCAGAGTTCCGGGTACTTCTCCTCCGCCGCCTGCGCTTAGCGCTGCCGCTCGCGCCTCCTGCCGTGGTCTGCTTGACCCGCTCAATGAACACCGCGCAGCCTGTGTGACCTCCGGGGCCCTTGCCTCCCGTGCCCTTCCGCTTGAGCGAGCCGTCGCTCGGGTGTGCCAAGAGGCCGGCGCTCGCGTCGCCCGCAACGTGCGCCGTGCAGAAGTCCTTGCAGACATAAAGCTTTCCACCCCAGTGCCCGACATAGAGATCGTCTGCAACGGTTTGCCTCTTTGGATCTCTTTGGCATGGGGTTCAGCTTGCAGTTGACACCACCTGCGTCAGCCCAGCGGCGAGCCGCGGCCAGCCTCGCCCTACAGCAAGCCACGAGGCGTAAGCGACGCGACACGTACGCCGAGCTTGCGCGCTCGCCGCGCTGCCACCTCGTGGTGTTCGCTGTCGAGGTTGGCGGCCGCTGGGGCCTCGAGCCCGCGACTTTCTTCAGGCTCCTCGCACGGGCGCGAGCTGGGCGTACGCACGCTGCCGTTCGGTCGGCTGTGCGTGCGGCCTATGTGTCTCGCTGGAGCAGCCTCATCGCCGTCGCAGCGCAGAGGGCCCTCGCCACCGTCGCCTCTGCTGCCGGCGAGCCGGCTGTGCATGAGGTCCTGCAGGACGAACGCTGGCTGCACGCCCCTGCCCTCAGCCGGCTCCCGCTGCGGACCTAGGCTGACGCCGCCATGTAGACGGCAGGTGCACAGGGATCGCGCTCGTGCTGGTCGCAAAAAGCGTGCGTGAAAAAAAAGCCTCGCGGCCGGTTTCCTTCAATTTGCCGCGACCCAATGCGATTCTTGGACGTTCCAAGTTGCCAATGACACGTCATGTTTGGACATCCCCCATCCTGCTCTGTGCGGGATCCGGCCTTGAGTTGACCCAAAAGGCTGGAAGAGCAATTATGTAAATTCAACTCCGTCTCGCAATGCTTGGAAGCTCTCGTGCGAGGAACGTGGTATTGTCGAGGATGCCACCTGCGCCTAAATCTTCGCCCTTTCTGTGAATAGGCCCGCCGATGGTGGAGCATGCTTTCCGTGGCCGTCTAACAAGCCGTCGGCCTCACAGCGCTCGGGCGTGCTAGGGCCATGCCGGGACCGGCGCATACCGATGTGCCGGCCCTGGATGTGGTCTTGGACTTGGCCGGGCCGGACGGGCTCAGCCGCATGCCGCTGCGATGAGTCGGCCCTAATAGGGGACCAACTTTTCATCTGTGCTTTTCGGAGCCGGACACAGCTGCTGGCGGAAAGAGGTGTGTGAAAAAAAAATGGGTTTCGTGTATGGCCATCTGTGGTGAGAGAGTGGACGTTGGCGAAATGGGGTCATCATGTTTTTGGAGGCTATCTCGTGTTGGTTATAAGCGCCGGCTATCGATGTATCGATGTCAATGCCCTTGCATTCTGATCTGGACTCGTTGGTGTCTGTCACAGGACTGAAATGATCAGGCATGTTCGTTAGAGCACGCTGCGCCCTACGAAGAGTATGAAGTTGGTCGGTGGCCTCATCGTCCACATCGCACCGCATGATCACACTCACTGTCTGCAAAGATTCGCGGCAGTAAAGAGCCGTCGATCACTGGCCAGGCAATAGCCATCAACTGCCAACTAACTGAGAAGGCGGAAAAAGATGTTTGCGACTTTAATTGCAGCTATACTCTAGACGATTACCTCGACCATTATGAGCGATAGTTGGGAACATCACGGAGTATCTGGCCTACTATCAAGACTCCTCCTTCTCGGCATGTGCGGGCTCGCACGTGCTGAGACTCCATTAGGGCTAGATCCCCCAAACTAGAAAAGCATTAACGGAGCATAAAGGATAAAGCAACAGCGTACTCCCCAGGCCCGTTGGGGTTTGGTGGACCAGCTTATGGCCTCTTGACTCTTGACTTTTTTTCGGGCGTTTTGACTCTGTTCTTGTCCCCGGTGGGAATCACCTGCGCCTTCTAAACCCCCATACACAGACTCTGGACTATTCGCGCGAAAAGAAGATGAGCAGAACGGTTATCATCGACCTACCCATCACGTAATCCGCAGTTGCGTGCGTGCTGTAGCCAATTTCACCTTCCCCAGGACCTTAGTCAGTCCATCGGCTTCGAGCTCATTCGTCCCACGATGTTGGACCTCAATGTTGTGCAACCACACCAAGTCTCTGATATATGCACAACGGATCGCGAAATGCCTGGTTCGCATAGTCTGTTCATGAAACCGCCGAGTGATCAAATGGATAGCTCGCGCATTGTCGCCATAGGCCACAAGGTGAATCTTGCATGCAAACAGCTCCTCAAGCACAAGATGCCCTCTTGGATCGCCACTGCGGTCGCCTCGATCTCGGACGCAGTCGCTGACCATGCCACAATAGAGTGCCGCTGTGACTTCCAATATACAAGATGGTCACCTAGGAACAGAGCTACCCCGCTTCTGGATCGCGCGCCACCCGGTGCCAAGGATGCATCTGAGACAATGCGAAAAGTCCACTCCGCATCTGCTGTATCATCACCGCCCCCAGGATTCACAGGACCACCACCGTAGCAATAGTGCAAAGTCTTCTCCCATGTACTTTTCAGGTATCGCCAAATCCCCTTGCACAAACGAAGACTTTCGGAAGGCCTCGATGTAATCAGAGTTGAAGCAACGCTTAAACAAGCAGCAATGTCCCGTCGAGACCGGATTGCAATCCACATTAAGGTACCAGCCTCCTTCTGAGCCAGTCTCATGTTGCTGTTGAATGCATTGTCACGAAGTTCAGACCCCTGAAGACCCTCCGAAGGCACCGGCAAAGATTCCGCGCCCTTGGGTGCGAGCCACCCTCGAGCACGAAGTTCTTGAGCTATGTATTTCGCTTGTCCAATACGCAATCCATCGCTCGCCACAGAGATCTCTGCACCAAGGAATCGCATGAAAAAAAAAAATCGCATGCACCGAACACGTTTCAACGTTAGGGTTTCACTCACAACCAGGTCCTTGTTCAGGCCTACACCCGGTTTTTCAAGAATGCCCTGCCCCTTGATAGCCCACAAACTCTGGATGAAGGCCGTAACCCGTCTGATCACTTCAATGCCGCCCACAATGAGTCCATCGTCAACGTACGCACAGCATGCCCCTGTGGTCAGACCCGCGCCGTCCACGATCTTCCACAGACCTGCTGCCAGATTCAACGGAACCAAATGCAGTGCTCCCAGTTTGTCCCCATCACGAGGAGGCAATTCCGCATGATTGAGCTTGTGGTAGCGTTCTCGCTCCCATTCTGTCGGTCCACGTCGTACACGTAGTCCGTAGATGTTGCGTTCCGCCACCCACACAGTATTTTCTGCAATGCTTCCTAGGTCTCTCATTATCTTCGGCGGAGTAATTACCACGGGGTCCCCGGAAATCTCCGCGTTGAGAAAGGCCGCCTCGACGTCGAGACCGCCCAATGTCCAATCCGCAACCTTCGCGGCTAGGGATACAAAGCATCGTACAATTTCAAGTGGTATGTTTGATGACGACCACGGCTCCCCGTTGTTATCGGTGCTCTCCTCGAAGTTCCCACATGCACAGATTCGGCTCTTTTCCATGAATCCGTCTGCATTCGCCCTGTCATCCTCTGAAGGTTTCATGGTGGGCACAACTTTGAAGGGATCTCCCTGGGCAGCTTGGCTCAGGGGAGATGTTCAAGTACTCGCGCAATCCCGATCCGGGGACCTCGCGGATGACACCGTCCATCTTTGCATACTCGGCAATCAATGACTCTCGCCACTGCTGTTGACGATCACCCTGAAAGAAACCCTTTAGATCCACGGTCTCCGCCTGAACGGGTGCCACACTTGCCTCAAGTAGGCTCGCTTCAACCTGATTTGCAAGCTGCTCTTCTTTTTTTTTTTTTTTTCCGCGCACCTTTTTGCGACAGCACCAGAGGTACTAGGTCCGGTCCCTGTGCAAACTGCTGTCTACGGGTTAGGCAGGGCGGGCTGGGAGGCGGCTGTTAGCGGGGGCCTGCAACCAGCGTGCGTCGGCCAGGAGCTCGTGCAAAGCGGGTGGGTCACCAGCAGCACCGAGCTCTGCGGCAGCGGGAAGCTCGAGCAGCGAAGTGGCGAAGGCTCGCTGCGCGGCAACGGAGAGGATGCCGCTCCAACGGTACACCCAAGCGGCTTGAGCAGCGCGGCGGACGGCGACAGGTGCGCTGGCTGCGCGGGCCTGCGCGAGAAGTCGGAGGAAGGTCGCGGCTTCCTCACTCCAGCGCCCACCAGTTTCGATGCCGAACACGACGAGGCGGCAGCGGCGAGCTCGAAGCAGCTCCGGATAGGTATGCCGGCGCTTGCGCTGCGCCGCGCGGGCTAACGCAACGCCCGGTTGTGCATCGGCCGCGGGCTGTGGCAGGCCGTCGCGCGTGAGCGGGGAAATTCCCCCCCCTAATAATAGGTCGTGAGGGGGGGGGGTCACAGGGGGACCGACCTATATCGGGACCTATTTATGGAAGGGTGGGGGGTGGTCACCGAAATAGGTCTGGACCTATTGTTTTGAGTGGCCTAGACTTATAAGCTGATAAGTACTTAGCAGTCTATTGGTAATACCAGTATTTCCAATACTGTGGAATGTATAGCCAGTTTCCATCAAGCTTAACCTCAAACTGCGAGTGGGAGGGTTTCCCAAGGTTGAAGTGACATTGAGAATGGCCGTTGAAAACGAAACCCAATGGTCAAGTGTGGAATCGGAGCAATATTCGATATTCATATTGTGTCAGTCCTCTCCGTCTTTGGGCCGTGTCAGGGCCCGTTGAATCATCAAGAATGAAAGTCTGGGTTGCCACAAGTTGCTACGATACCTGGCGATATGGCCGGTGCAATTATCGTATCTAGCGTATTTCTCCAGTTCGTGAGCAACAGACTCCACCAGCAGCAGCGCCGGTAACAGGACACAGCAGCAGTAATCTAAAGGTCACTGCTACCGTGATTAATCAGTCGGGGCATGTCCCAGCCAGACCCCCCACCCGAAGCCTAGGGGGGTCAGACCCACCCGAAATAGGTCCCGGACCTGTTTCTGGCATACCCTCAGGGGTCCCCCACCCCAGCCCCCCTTTAGGGGGGGGGAATGCGGGGAAACCAAGGTCGCATCGACGGCGAGCTGAGCCCCGTGCCAGAGGGGCAGGCCATTGCAAACGACCTCGATCCTCCTGGCGTCGCTGACTGGCACATCAATGTTCATGTCAGCGACGCGAACATTGCGTGCAACACGCGCTCCGGCCTCGCGGCAGACACGAGCAAGGGCATGCTCGAGCGGGAGCGCCCGGGTCGGGAGGACACCCGAGGTGGCACAGGCGGCTCGGTGGTCGCCCAGAGGGTCGAGGCTGCGGCCGCAGCGGCAAGTGCGGGGGCAGAGCGCTAAGGGAAGGCGCAGCCGTCGGAGCAGCAGGACCCGGAACTGCGCGCTGGGGATAGTGACATCGTCGGAGGTGGGGAGGACCGTAAACACACGGCCGGAGTGTGGCCCGGCCTGGGAGAGCTGCAGGGCACGAGACGCAGGCGAAAGGTCAGTAAAGTGCGTCTCGAGCGCGCGCTCGTCGCAGGCTCGGCTAGCCCGGCGTTGCCAGCCACGCAAGTAGTCAACCCCATCGCCGTCTTCGACGGCCGTGTCAAGCGGAAAAGCGGCGTTGCCGAGGGCGGTGTCCCAAGCAGGGGCGCGAAAGCCCTGTCCGACCAGGTGAGCTGCTGCCTGGGCCGCCGCCGCGACGACCGGCACACGGCCGGCCTCAGGGTCTGCGAGCAAGGCGAGGAATCGCGCTGCGGCTGCAGGCGCGCGCTCCCGGAGCACGGGCAACGTGTCAAACCAGGACGCCCAGTACGCAGCGTGCCGGTCGAGCGTGGCCGCTCGCAGGCCCAGCCCGCCGCACTGCAGTGGCAGACGGGCGCCGCGCGTGGAAAGCTCAGGCAGCGGGGCGTCCGCAGAGCCGAGCAGGGCAAACAGGCACCTGTCAACAGCACCGTCGTGCGCCTCAGCAAAGGGCAAAGTGGCAGCAGGCGGCAACACGCGGAGGAGGTAGTTGGCCCGAGGACAGGCGCAGAAGCGTAGCAGGAGCCAGGCGGCCTGCAGGTCTTCGACGGCAAGGATGCGCGTGAGCAGTCTGTCGTGTTCAGCCCGTTTGAGCTCAAGCTGCCGCTGCACGAATGCGTCGCTCCCAAGTGGTGTGCCCAAAACGAGGAGGCCCTGTTGGTCAGGGCGAAGCGACCAGTCGCCTGTCCATACGACAGCGTCGGAGTCACTCTGCAGGTCGGCGATTCCCGGCGGCTCCTCCCCAGCAGCATTCCATATACGGGTCTCGCCACGGTTGAGCTCGACACGGGCATGTCGCCACAGGGCGGCGCGGAATGCATCGTATAGTGGGCGTACGCGGTCAGGGGGGGCAACGACGTACGTGTCGTCGAGGAACGCGAAAATGGCTTCTCCGTCACGCAGCTGGGCCTGGACCTCGCACAGGGCGGGCTGTTGTGCCAGGGCATAAAGTGCTGGCATGAGCGGGTCCCCTTGTTCCCCACCCTCGCCTTGAGCGATGAGGTGGCTACGGCCGGAGTCATCTGTCCACGTGTAGGAGCTGGGCGTGCCGTAAAATTGACGGGCGAAGGGCACGAGCGGTCGCAGGTCAGGGTGACGGAGCAGGGCACCGAGCATGGCTTCCCGGGAGACGTGGTCGAACGCGCCGACGGCGTCAACGGACAACACGGTTGCACGCTGATCGAGCTCTGTGGCGGCTCGCAACACCCTGGCAAGGGCTTCGGTGCCAGCTCGCGTGCTCAGGCCAAACTGGTGCGGGAGACAAACACGTTGGAAGTGTGGCGCAAACGCTTGGGCCAACACGCGGCCGACCAGGCGCCGAAGGACATCCCCGATGACAAAGGCTCGGACGCCGCGTCCGTTGGGTTTCTGCAGCGCGGTGAGCCGGCCGACGCGCACAGCAGCCAAAACGGGCGGCGGGAGGTCGGCACGTGCAAGGCGGCAGGCTGCGCGGTGCAAAAACTGGGTATCACCCTCGTCGTCGAGCAGGATACGCAGATGCTCGTTGGTGGCCCCTGACGGTCCAGCTGCCGCCCCCCTCCTTGCGGACCGCAGACATGCCACGAACGCTGGGAGCGGGAAGGGACAGGGGTCGGCGGCTTGGTACGTGGCAATGTCTTGCGGCAGCGGCGCGTAGGGAGTCGGGGGGCGCCGCGAAGGGTCCCGCAGCTCGGCGAGGGTTGCGTCGGTGCCGGGTGCAAGTGGTTCTGCAACGAGCGCGCGACCGGCGGCCGAAAGCTCGCCGATGTGCACAAGGGCTGTAGCTCGGGAAGCGCGAGCAGCGAGGTCGTCCGTCGGCATGCCCGTGCGGGACCGGGGAGCAGCGGAACCCGATGCCAGCTGCAGTAGTTCTGGCCAAGCGCCGCGTGCGAAGAGGTCACAGCGGCGATCGAGCTCCGCAGGTGGGATGAGCGACTCTCCGCTTGAACGCTGCAGAAGCATGCGAGGTGCCAGACAGAAAAGCTTCCAGCCCCGCAGCTCCTGCGCTGGCGACTCACGGTCGGCAATTAGCTGCAGGCCCGCTCGGAGAGCCGTACGCAGGGCTCCGCGGAGGCGCGCAGGAACCCCCTGCAATGTGAGGACGCGCTGTTGCAAAGTTTCCTGAAGATCGACGCCGTCAAGGGAAGCCAGGCCCGTCAGCAGACCGCTTTCGGCTGCAGAGACGCGGCGCTGGGCTGCCGTTGTAAGGGCAGGCGCCTGGGATGCGAGGGGAGGGCCGTCGTGGCCGTCTCCCGGCGCAGAGGCTGGAGCGGGAGGGGAGGCGGCAGGAGGCGAGGAGGCGTGCCGGCCTCGGCCTCGCCCGCGTCCGCCACGTCGGCCGCGAGCTGCGGCTGCGGCAAGCTGCGCGGTGGAGGCGAGGTGCTGCTCCGCCCGAGCTGCGGCATCGGTGTGCGCGTGGGACCGCAGGGGTGGCTGCGCTGGCGCGGGAGCATCGGGAGCTTCGGGCGGGGCACTCGCATGTGTGGGTGCTTCCAACGGAGCGGCGGAGTCAGGGGCTGGTGGCGCGGGCAGCAAGGCGGCACCAGGCTCGCTTGCACGCAAGCGGTCAACGATTCGCTCCAAGGTGGATGCGGCCGCCGCGCCGACCAAGAGTGCGATTAAGGCTTCCTGCAGAGGGGCCGCGATGTAGTGGCCTTCATCCGCCGAGGTGATCGCACGGAGGACCTCTGCAAGCGACGCGACCTGTGCGACTCGAGGCTGGGCCCATGACCAGAAGCGCTCGAGTGTGCTGGAGACGAGGGCCTGCTGTGGAAAGGCCTGGGAAACATGTTCCACTGCTGTGCAGAGCTCACGCACGGGAATGAAGGGCCGGGCGAGCAGGGCCGCGACTGCGGCAGGCCACCATTCGCCGATTGGGGCATGTGTCCGCCACGCGCGCTGCGCATCGGCCGGCAGGAGGCCGGCTGCGTCGAGCAGAAGGGGTACATAAACACGCGAGTTAGTCCCGTCACGGAATGGCAGTGGCGGCGGGCCGAGGTTACCAATAGATGCATGCACTTCGGGACGGTGAAGCGGCGGCCAGGGCGCGGGCCCATTGTGCGTGTGCGGCGTGGGGTGGTCCGTCGCTCCGGCCGGAGCGCCTTCGTCGACGGGTGGGCGGGTCGCAAGCTCCAGCGCTAGCGGCCTGGGAGACTGCGCAAAGGGGCAGCGTCCACACACCCAGCGCTCTTGACGGCGACTCATGTCGACCTCCCAGTGCAATGGCACCTCGCAAAGGGGGCACGCCGGACGCGGCTCGGGCACGGTGACGCGGTCAAGTGGGAGCTCATTCTGGCAGCGCATGCAAATCCACAACGCCTGCCAAGCGCCGATGCCGTCCGTGCGCCGCTGCGGCACCGGCGCCCAGTGCATGCGAGCGTCCGGCAGCTCAACAAAATCCATGGCAGGCCCCGCGAGGCGTCGGCAGCAAACGGCGCGGATGTGGAGCGGCTCCACGGGTTCAGGAGCGTCTGCCCGCGAGAAGGTGCGGGTGGAGTAGTCGCGGACAACGGCGAAGGCCGTGTCATGCGGCGGAGGTGTCTCAGGTTCCAGGTCGATGCCCAATTGTCGACATCGCGTGGCGATTGAAGGTTCCCGTGGCAAGTGGTCGACTGCAGCTCTGCAGTTGGGGCAACTGCCATGACGCCGCGCGCACTGTACCAGGCAGGATAGGTGCGTGAAGGCAGCGCAACATGGGAAGACCGCATCCTCGGCTTGGGGCTGGGAGGAGGGGGCTTGCAGGCAGACCGGGCACGCAGCCAACGGAGGCAAAGCGAACTCCGGTGTGACGTCGCCCTCGCGCCTCGCGTGGTGAAGAAGGTGGGGAAGGCGGCGGGCTGTCCAGCGCAGCGGGGAGGCGCATTGGCATGAGCTCAGCTGTGGCAGGAGCGGCCATCACAGGCGCCAGCGGCGTGCGGTCACCACGGGGGGACCGAGGTGAAGGGCTGTCTGGGACAGTGAGGGGGGAAGCGGTGAGGGGCGGCGGGGAAGGCGCGCGACGCGACATGACTGTAGCAACCGCGGGCAAGACTTGTTGCTCGTGACACCGCGGAGCGAAGCCGCAATGCGATAGAATACACTAAGGTACAAGGCACCGCTTCACTTCAAACGTGAGCGGGTGCAGGCAGCAGCCAGCGGAAGCAGCCAAGCCGGCTGGCCTGGCAAAGCGTCCGCAATGGCAGCCTTACAGCGGAAAACCGAGGGCTCGACCTGAGGCAAAAGGCAGCTCCAGCCAGGATTTTTTGCTCGTGGCACGGCGGAGCGAAGCCGCAGTGCAATAGAATACACTAAGGTACAAGGCACCGCTTCACTTCAAACGTGAGCGGGTGCAGGCAGCAGCCAGCGGATGCAGCCAAGCCGGCTGGCCTGGCAAAGCGTCCGCAAAGGCAGCCTTACAGCGGAAAACTAAGGGCTCGACCTGAGGCAAAAGGCAGCTCCAGCCAGGACACCAGGACCTGGCAAAGGAGGAAAAAACACAGCAGCTGCGGACAAGTGCAACGGTGGCAAGTAGGCCTGTCAACGCCTGCGTTGGCGTTTGGCTTGCTTGTTCCAGCGACTACCGCCACGGACCCTTGACTTGTGCGTCGGGGGTCGTGGAGGAGTTGCAGCGGCGGGTTTGCTTGCTGCTCGCCGGGGCCGTGCAGGTGGCTTTGGTTGAGGCACCCTCGGCCTGTCACGGTGGGGGGCGGGCGGAGGTGGCGGGGGCAGCGGGCGAGCCGCAGACTTGGGAGCAGGCTCAGGCTGGGCAGCCTGGAGTGAGCCGCCGGCCGCCAGAATGTCGGCCACCGGCAGGAGCACGAAATCACGCTCCACAACGCCTGTCACTTGCACACCACCCAGAGTGACCGACACCTGTCGCATGCACAACACCGGAAGCGTATGGCGGCGCGGAGGAAGCTACAAAAAGGTTGAAGCGTTCAGGGGTCCCCGGAGCAGTTCTAGCGCGCCACGTTACCGTTACCGCAAGCCTAGAAAGCTGAGTTCGGAAGCTGCTCGGGAAGCCTCTCGGAGCTGAGTTGGAAGCTACTTGGGAGCTTAGTTTGGAAGCTGCTCGGGAGCTCAGTTCGGAAGCTGCTCGGAAGCTTGAGCCAAAATGGCTACGGTTCATACGAAAGCAGATGGTATTTCTGCCAATTCACAATCTTATCCCCATGCTCCGGCGCTGGCTGCGCCGCCTGTGAAGATGATGCTGCTGCCACTGCTGCCAACGGGTATCCCTCTAATGGACTTTGGCTTTTGAGCACCTCCTCAACAGTCAAGAGACCCAAATCTATTCCCAGATCCCGACTGGTATCTGCGTCCCGAACCTGACCATCACTCGAAATCCAGAGAAGATCCCTCGACAGGGACTCGTAGGTCCTCCAGCGCCGCTCTGGCTCCTTGATCACCGCAGGTAACCTAGTCACCACAACTGCATTCCGGCCGTTTCTCCTGACCTCAACATAGGCACCGTTGGTAAACTTGTCCGCACGACCAATGAAGATTGCAGCTTCCGAGCGCACGTCCAAAAGGACCCGGGTTGTTGATCTTGATCGCGACGCTGTCGCCTGGGTAAGGGGCTTGACCCTGCCAGGATCGCCCCAATGTCAAGTCTCGTTGTTGTCTCGCAGCCTCCTTAAAGAGAATGGGCCAATAGCGTGAGGGCACTTCACCCTTCCAATATTTCGTTCAGCCACGCCATTCGCGGCCGGATCATGCCCAACAGTACTTGTCTGATGAATCCCAGCCTTCTGGAGCTCTTCGACTACACGACGAGCTAAGAATTCTTTCGCACGATCGGAATGGATCCTAACTGGCACCTTGCCGCCCGCTACCGCCGACAGCTCATTCAGAATGGCCTGCACACCGCATAGCACATCCGACCAGAACCGGCGGCGCAACGGCTGAACAAACTGAAGGGTTGCGCCATCCTCCAGACGAAATACGCCCGCCAAGATGTATTTGGAGTCATCGTATGCTCCCTTATACGGACCAGCAATGTCTATGGACAAAACCCCCTTTGCAATGTCTGAAGGCTGAACACGCCGATGCGGTTTCTTGGTTCCTCGAGCCTTGAAATCATCCAAAGTATGTCCAGGCTTCTCCTTGGCAGGTTCCTTCTTTACATCAGGTGCCACTTCAAGCGACACCGATTCCGAAGGTTTCAGCATCCCAGAACTGTCACCCGAAAGATCGCCACTGAATATGTGCGCTGGATCAGGCAATGAAGGTTCATATTCATCCCAATTTTCTTCGAAAGGCATGGCAGCATCCAGCGCGGTCGGACCATCAGGACAAGCTAAACCCTGAATATCATCCCCGAACAAACCCTCATCCAGGTCCTCTTCAAGCATATGCTCCCCGAACGAACCACTCCCTGTCGTCGTGTCCGTCGTCGGGCCTCAGAGTCCTCAGCCAGTGGGTTTCAGGAAGGCTTAGGGTTCTGCTTGACCCGTCGCATCTGATCACCTTCCTTGTGCTCAATCCAAAGGTTGCCACCGTTGCATTGCCCCTTATGGTTAAGGACTACAAGCACATTCTGGGAATTCGGATCGTTATGGGTATCCTTATGGGGAGTGAAGGTAACATCCTTGGACGCCGTGAACGACGTCCAGGTAGCACCTGGCATTTCCTGCTTCATGAAACGATTGATCACGGCTACCAGATTCGGAAACTGACCAGTGCGAGTTGTGACACCGCACTGAGGACCATGACCGTATGCACCAAACACCCACGATTTGATCCCCTCAGATCCCACATCACCTTCTGCACATGCTCTCGCCTTTTTCTGAGGTTTCAAATCGGCCTTCGAGACCGCCTCAAGAATGTGATCATAGGTGAGGTGGTCCAGCTTCAAGAAATTCGCCTCCACCTTTTCCCCAATGCTGGTTTCTACACCCTTAGATGCACACTCCTTGGCCTCGGCCTCACACTCATCTAGATCCTCAGGTGTCATGAACTGGTTTGCGGCGACTCCTGCGCCACTAGTAATCGCACAGCAACTCTTCTTGTTGTTTCGGAAAGAAGCAGAAAGTTGTTTGCGAAGATGAACAAAGTCAGACAAGTAGATATAGGGCAACCCGTTTTCAACAAACATGTGAATCGTCTCGCAACCGGCTCCAGTCTCCTTAACAAGCCTAGCACCCGACTCAAGATCCCAGATAAACCTTTATCCCAGCTCTACAATCTGTCCCACAGGTGCAATCCATGAACTCTCATCCCCCGGCATAGCGAGCTCCCCATCACGGGTCCGCCAAGCGAAGGTGGTATTACCATCGGCTAATGTGAGATGGACCTTGGTAGATCTCGTGGGTGGCTGTGATCCCGCCGGTCTGATCAACTCATTTGCCCCTGTGTCTGCTAAAACACATTTGTCCTCGTCACAGATTCCTGTGCTGCTTGCCTGGGCTGCATGTGCAGTCTCCGAAAATATAGGAGATGTTGAGCTGGGGCTGTCCTCGGGTTCCGGTGCCGCAAGTGGCGGCGGTGGACTTACGGTTGGAGCTGTTGCTGTGCTGAGAAGATCAGCATGCCCCTCGCAAGGATGACACGACACGCCATGGACTTGGCTCAAGTCACTGAGGAAAGAGTTGTGATGAGGGGTTGCGGTGGACGAGCCTTGAGGTTGGGCCCAGGCCTGTAATATCCTCTAGATGCACGGCGATTATGATCATCTTGATGACCTTCCTTTTAGTGTACGGAAACATCTTCATTGCGCGCGCAAACAGCGGACGCGCACCGCTAAACCCGAGAAACCCGAGAAACCCGAGAAACCCGAGAAACCCGAGAAACCCGAGAAACCCGAGAAACCCGAGAAACCCGAGAAACTCGAGAAACCCGAGAAACCCGAGAAACCCGAGAAACCCGAGAAACCCGAGAAACCTGAGAAACCCGAGAAACCCGAGAAACCCGAGAAACCCGAGAAACCCGAGAAACCCGATAAACCCGATAAACCTGATATCAGGGGCGCCCCATCAACCCAAGGCTCCACCCTCGGAGTTCATGATCTGTAAGGGTTGCGACTTAGAAGGAAGGCAGGGGTGCCCCAGCAACCCAAGGCCCGACCCTCGGAGTTCAAGATTTGAAAGAGTTCTGATTAAACAAACCAGGGGCGTCCGAGGCCCCACCCCCGGAGTTCAAGCTCACTAAGAGGCGGTGATCTGAAAATCATGGGCGCTCCATCAGTCCAAGTCCTCATCCTGAGCTCAACATTTGTCAAAGCTTTGATTTAAGAATCAGGGGTGCCCCATCAGTCCAAAGCCCCACCCTCGGAGTTCAAGGATCTGTAAGGGTTCTGATTTAAAAATCAGGGGCGCCCCGCTCCATCAGAGTCCAAGGCCCCACCCTCGGAGTTCAAGCTCTGTAAGGGTTGTGATTTAGAAATCAGGGGTGCCCCAGCAACCCAAGGCCCGACCCTCGGAGTTCAAGCTTTGAAAGAGTTCTGATTAAAAAAACCAGGGGCGTCCGAGGCCCCACCCCCGGAGTTCAAGCTCACTAAGAGGCGGTGATCTGAAAATCATGGGCGCTCCATCAGTCCAAGGCCTCATCCTCGGAGTTCAACATCTGTCAAAGCTTTGATTTCAGAATCAGGGGTGCCCCATCAGTCCAAAGCCCCACCCTCGGAGTTCAAGGATCTGTAAGGGTTCTGATTTAAAAATCAGGGGCGCCCCGCTCCATCAGAGTCCAAGGCCCCACCCTCGGAGTTCAAGATTTGAAAGAGTTCTGATTAAACAAACCAGGGGCGTCCGAGGCCCCACCCCCGGAGTTCAAGCTCACTAAGAGGCGGTGATCTGAAAATCATAGGCGCTCCATCAGTCCAGGGCCTCCTCCTCGGAGTTCAACATCTGTCAAAGCTTTGATTTAAGAATCAGGGGTGCCCCATCAGTCCAAAGCCCCACCCTCAGAGTTCAAGGATCTGTAAGGGTTCTGATTTAAAAATCAGGGGCGCCCCGCTCCATCAGAGTCCAAGGCCCCACCCTCGGAGTTCAAGATCTGTAAGGGTTGTGATTTAGAAATCAGGGGTGCCCCAGCAACCCAAGGCCCGACCCTCGGAGTTCAAGCTTTGAAAGAGTTCTGATCAAAAAAACCAGGGGCGTCCGAGGCCCCACCCCCGGAGTTCAAGCTCACTAAGAGGCGCTGAAAATCATGGGCGCTCCATCAGTCCAAGTCCTCATCCTGAGTTCAACATTTGTCAAAGCTTTGATTTAAGAATCAGGGGTGCCCCATCAGTCCAAAGCCCCACCCTCGGAGTTCAAGGATCTGTAAGGGTTCTGATTTAAAAATCAGGGGCGCCCCGCTCCATCAGAGTCCAAGGCCCCACCCTCGGAGTTCAAGATTTGAAAGAGTTCTGATTAAAACAAACCAGGGGCGTCCGAGGCCCCACCCCCGGAGTTCAAGCTCACTAAGAGGCGGTGATCTGAAAATCATGGGCGCTCCATCAGTCCAGGGCCTCCTCCTCGGAGTTCAACATCTGTCAAAGCTTTGATTTAAGAATCAGGGGTGCCCCATCAGTCCAAAGCCCCACCCTCAGAGTTCAAGGATCTGTAAGGGTTCTGATTTAAAAATCAGGGGCGCCCCGCTCCATCAGAGTCCAAGGCCCCACCCTCGGAGTTCAAGATCTGTAAGGGTTGTGATTTAGAAATCAGGGGTGCCCCAGCAACCCAAGGCCCGACCCTCGGAGTTCAAGCTTTGAAAGAGTTCTGATTAAAAAAAACAGGGGCGTCCGAGGCCCCACCCCCGGAGTTCAAGCTCACTAAGAGGCGGTGATCTGAAAATCATGGGCGCTCCATCAGTCCAGGGCCTCCTCCTCGGAGTTCAACATCTGTCAAAGCTTTGATTTCAGAATCAGGGGTGCCCCATCAGTCCAAAGCCCCACCCTCGGAGTTCAAGGATCTGTAAGGGTTCTGATTTAAAAATCAGGGGCGCCCCGCTCCATCAGAGTCCAAGGCCCCACCCTCGGAGTTCAAGATTTGAAAGAGTTCTGATTAAAACAAACCAGGGGCGTCCGAGGCCCCACCCCCGGAGTTCAAGCTCACTAAGAGGCGGTGATCTGAAAATCATGGGCGCTCCATCAGTCCAGGGCCTCCTCCTCGGAGTTCAACATCTGGCAAAGCTTTGATTTAAGAATCAGGGGTGCCCCATCAGTCCAAAGCCCCACCCTCAGAGTTCAAGGATCTGTAAGGGTTCTGATTTAAAAATCAGGGGCGCCCCGCTCCATCAGAGTCCAAGGCCCCACCCTCGGAGTTCAAGATCTGTAAGGGTTGTGATTTGGAAATCAGGGGTGCCCCAGCAACCCAAGGCCCGACCCTCGGAGTTCAAGCTTTGAAAGAGTTCTGATCAAAAAAACCAGGGGCGTCCGAGGCCCCACCCCCGGAGTTCAAGCTCACTAAGAGGCGCTGAAAACCATGGGCGCTCCATCAGTCCAAGTCCTCATCCTGAGTTCAACATTTGTCAAAGAATTGATTTAAGAATCAGGGGTGCCCCATCAGTCCAAAACCCCACCCTCGGAGTTCAAGGATCTGTAAGGGTTCTGATTAAAAAATCAGGGGCGCCCCGCTCCATCAGAGTCCAAGGCCCCACCCTCGGAGTTCAAGCTCACTAAGAGGTGGTGATCTGAAAATCATGGACGCTCCATCAGTCCAAGTCCTCATCCTCGGAGTTCAACATCTGTCAAAGCTTTGCTTTAAGAATCAGGGGTGCCCCATCAGTCCAAAGCCCCACCCTCGGAGTTCAAGGATCTGCAAGGGTTCTGATTTAAAAATCAGGGGCGCCCCGCTCCATCAGAGTCCAAGGCCCCACCCTCGGAGTTCAAGATCTGTAAGGGTTGTGATTTAGAAATCAGGGGTGCCCCATCAACCCAAGGCCCGACCCTCGGAGTTCAAGATTTGTCAGAGTTCTGATTAAAAACCAGGGGCGTCCAAGGCCCCCGCCCCGGAGTTTAAGCTCACTAAGAGGCGGTGATCTGAAAATCATGGGCGCTCCATCAGTCCAAGTCCTCATCCTCGGAGTTCAACATCTGTCAAAGCTTTGATTTGAATCCTCAAGCTTGTCATGCAACGCTTCCGGTAGCATGTTTCTATGTGGAAGCAGATTTTGCTGAGCTAGGCGCGAGGAGAAAGACCGAGCTTTAAGAATCAGGGGTGCCCCATCAGTCCAAAGCCCCACCCTCGGAGTTCAAGGATCTGTAAGGGTTCTGATTTAAAAATCAGGGGCGCCCCGCCCCATCAGAGTCCAAGGCCCCACCCTCGGAGTTCAAGCTCACTAAGAGGTGGTGATCTGAAAATCATGGACGCTCCATCAGTCCAAGTCCTCATCCTCGGAGTTCAACATCTGTCAAAGCTTTGCTTTAAGAATCAGGGGTGCCCCATCAGTCCAAAGCCCCACCCTCGGAGTTCAAGGATCTGCAAGGGTTCTGATTTAAAAATCAGGGGCGCCCCGCCCCATCAGAGTCCAAGGCCCCACCCTCGGACCTCGGAGTTCAAGACCTGTCAGGGTTCTGACACAAGAATCGGTCGGTAGTCATAGATTTCAGAAGACTTTCAGAAGAACAAAGACACAATAACAAACCCAAAACAGTTCCGAAGTGCGCGTAAAATTCCGGGTGCACGCACAAGAGCACGTCAATTGAGTCGAGATTCGTGGTCGTTCGCCAAAAAATCCGCTGAATAGGATGCAATCACAACACGTGAAATGTAAAAACTCTCTCTGACTGACAGTTGAAGAGAAATCGCAGGACTGCGGGAACTGCTGCCATCAATGAGCCACAAAAACCTGGTACGACAGGGCAGGCTGCAAAACCAAGGACGCAACCAGGCTGCAACAGCCACAGGGTAGTATTGCCTGTGTGCCAGCCTGTATAGGCAGAATTCCAGCGCAATTCGGCGCAATTCGGCGCAATCGGCGCAATTCGGCGCAATCGGCGCAATTCGGCGCAATTCGGCGCAGACGGCGCAATTG